TAAATATATATATTTATTTATATATATATATATATATTAATATTTATTTATTCATAATCATAATTAAAAACTTTACATATTAATATATCAGCTATTAGCCTCTTAAACATTCATTAATTATTTAAATTTTTAATTTAATACATATTATTACTTTAATTATTTTCATCAATTATAAAATAAAAAATAAATATTTATATTTTTAATATAAATATACATTTTTAATTTTTGTTTTATTTATTATATTTTTTTAAAAAATATTTTTACATATCTCTTTTTAGTATGATTAGCTATTAGAATTTGTTCATGAAATAAGAACAAATACATAAATATTATTTATAATATCTTTTTAAAAAAATATATAATATTTAATTAAATAATTTTATATGTTAAACTAATATATTATACAGTTTTTAAATTTTTATATAAATTTTATTTTTTACAGCATTTAAATCATAATTTATTAATTTAAATTTTAGAAAATATATATATTTTGTTTAATAAGAAAAGAAATATTTTCTTAATAAACACAACATTTTAGTAATTTATTATATGTATTATATTTAAATTGAAAGCTTAAATATATTATTTAATAACAAAAAACTTTTATAATAAAAAATAATATTAATTATTAATCTTATTGGTTAAATATAATTTCAATTAAAAAATGCTATATTTCATATGTTATTCAAATAATTGTATAAAATGAAATGCTTTGTATAAATAAACAAAATAATGGAAAATAAAAAAAATGTTTTAAAATTAAAATAAAGAAAATTATGATTTAAAATATTAAATATATAATTATTATAATAAAATATAATTTAAATATATATATATTAAATATCGATATTAAAAATCAAAAATTAATATTGATAGAATTATTAATATTATAATTAATAATATTTTTAAAAATATGATTATTATTATTATTATTATTATTATTATTATTTTTTTTATTATTTATATTTAATTTTTATTTTATTTTATATTTTTTATTTCAATGAAATAATTTAAATAATTTTTTTTTTATTTAATATTATATAATATTTTTTTAAATTTTAATACATAAATATTATATTTTTATTTAAAATATAATTTTTTTTAATATTTTATTTTTAATAAATATAATCATGTAATTATTTTTTAAAATATTTATTATAAATTATTATTTTTTTATTTCTATTACATATTTTTATTTTAATGATATTTATTTATATTTTTTTTTTATTTTTATTTTTTTATTTATTAATTAATATTTTAATTTGTTTTATTAATTTTTATTGTCATTTTTTATTATTTTACATTTTATTTATTTTTTAGACAATTATTTTATATATTTTTTATTTTTTATATTTTTTTATTTAATTTTATTTATTATCATTTTGTTTTTAAATAGAAAATTTTTCGTTATTTCTTATTAGTTTACATTCTTCTGTTAATTATAAGAATCTTGTATTATTATAAACTATATTATAAGTATCATTTATAATTTTACTTTTTTAATATTTATTTAATTAAATATTACCCTTTTAATTTCGATTTTGTGTACATTAAATTAATTTTCTACTTATCTATTTAAATTTTCAATTTAATAAATATCTTTAATTTGTAAACATATTTCATAGAAGATTTAAAGATAATCCTTATAAAATATTAGTAATTTTAAATTTAATTTAGAAATTATATTTATTTTCAAACATTTCTTATTTTTAATAATTTAGATAATTATTTAATAAATAAAAATTTTACATTTATAAAATGCACTTAATATATATATATATATATAATACATAATCTATGTGTGTAAATTTAAAACATCTATATGTTTATTATATTTTTTAAAAAAATAGTTTTATTAAAGTTTTAATTCTTTTAGAAATATTAATATTCAAATTAACGGAAATAAATAAATTAATTTTATATTTTTTTTGTATTTAACATTTTCAAAGAAAATACTGAAAAATAATGTAGATATCTTTTATATTAATTATTTTCATAAATAAATATCTCCTTTATTAGAAAACATAATTAATTATTTTTTCTTTTGTAATTTTTTATTTAATAATATTTTTGAGAAATATTCTTAAAAATTTATTCACTTAAGAGCATTCTGTTAAAATAGTATCTATAATATTATTTTATTAAAAATTAAAATAAAACCAAAATAATAACATTTAAAATTAATTTTATTAGAAAATTTAAAAACAAATATTTATTTTTCTAAATGAATATATAAAAACCAAAATATAATATTATTTAAATTTAAAGTCTTTTACTTACTATTTAATATAAAATGCTATTCAATATAAAATAAAAATATTTTATATACCGATATAAAAAAAATATATAAAAATAATAAAATTAATGATTATTAAATAAATGTATTAAATAATAAAAAATAAAAAAATGACATATTAAATAAATATAAAAATAATTATTTTGTATAAAAAAATTAAGATCTTTTTTATAAAAAAAATTATATTTAAATTTTTCTTCATTCTTAATCTTTTTCAATTTATTAAGTAATAAATTAAACACTAACATCAATAGTCATAGTTTTTTAAGATGAATTTAATTCTGTCCTATTTTCATTTCGACTACTACGAGAACCACCATAAAATTATATAGGACTATCATCAGAGTCTTTAGGGTTATTTATCTTTTCATAAATATCATAAACTTTTTTTACACCAATAACTTTTTATTTTAGATTTTCTAAAAGTAAATTTACTTTTTTTTGGCATCATTAACTGCTTCGCTTAGTAGTTTTTCTCTAGCAGATTCTATTTATTTATCATCAGGAGAAAATCTAACAAAATCAACGGCATTAAATTCATTTTTAATAGCATCATCAATCACTTTTCCAGCTTTTTATGAATTAGAAGATTTTATTAAAATCGAATTTTTAACTTTATATCCTTCAAAAACTCTTTCATTTTATTAAGTTTATTCATTGATTTAATCAATATAACTAGAAGAATCAATAGTAAAGCCACTAGAAGAAACACTTAATTCTTCATCTTTTTTATAAATATCTAATACTTTTTTGACAACTTCATTATTTTTTTAAAGAGCAGTTTTAACATCTTTATCCATATTTTAGTAAGAAACTTATATTTCAAATTAAGTATCATTTAAAGATGTAGATGCAGTTCCTTATACTCTTGATGGATCAGATAGATTACTTAAGTATAATTAACATTCGCATTATTAATCAGTTTAATTACATTATTATGATTATTATATTAATATTATTAAGAATAATAATGATAGTACTTTCATTTTTTTATTATTATTAAATCTTTTTTAAATAAAGTATTTTTTATATATTTTTATTTATAAATAATTTTTATAGATATTATCTTATTTTTTATGTTTAATTTTCTATAATTTTAGTTTCATAAATTAAAATAAATTGTAAATTTTATATTATATATTAATAATATAGATAAAAGTAAAAAGAAATAAAGAAATAAATTATAATCACAAATTAATAAAATATAAAAATTTAAAATATGATATATAATTAAAAGAATAAAAATAAAAATTAATAAATAAAAATATAAAAATTGTAAAATAAAAAGACTATATTTATTTTGTTAGTTAAATATATTTTTTAAAAAAATATTATTTTATATATTAATAAATTATTTTTATACAATGATACGTATTAAAATTTTTTATAATTATATTTTAATAATACATTATAATATTTTCTTTTAATAGAAAAATTTATAAAAATAAAAAATAAAATATAATATCAAAAAATATAAAAATAATTTTCATTTATTTTTAGTTTATATAATTATATTTATAAGCTATTTTTTTTAATTTATATATTTTTATTCGAACATATTAATAAATTGAAATTTTTAATAAAAAATATAAAAATTACATATAATTTGTATCATAAATATAAATAGAAAAATCATAAGAAAATTAAAAAATATAATAACATTTTTTTTAAATACTGAAATATATCTATAAATTATTTTAATACATTTATTTTTTATATATTAATAAAAAAAAACAATAATAATAATAAAAATGTTTATTTTAATTATTTTTTAATATTTTTTTTCATTTTTTTATAAAAAATTGTTTAATTTAAATTAAAATTAATATTTTTTTTTAACAATAATAGATTTTTTGCTTTCTTATATATAATATATAATTTTTTTAAAAATATTTTTTTTATATTATTATTCAATAAAAAAAACTTAATAAAGATAATATATTAATAAATTTAAATAGAAAATTTAAAAAAATCACAAATTTAATAAAAAAAATATATTTTATTATAAAATAAACTAAGAATTTTTTCATTTAAAAAAAATATTTAATTTTTTTCATTTATCTTCAGCAATATTTTATTTAATATTAAATTCTACTGTAACATGCATAGTCATTTTCTATCCTTTTGTTTATTGATAATTAATAGAAGAAGTTTTTAAACCGTCAACGCTATATTAGAGATCTTTTAAAATTATTTCTGCCTTTTTTTAAGCATTTTTAACTGCTTCACCTATGAGATCATTTTTAGCTTTTTATATTGATTCATCATCAGGAAAGTATTTAACAAAATCAACAGTATTAAATCCATTTTCAATAGCAGTCTAAATCACCTCTTCAGCCTTTTCTAATTCAGAAGATTTTACTTAAATCTAATTTTTAACTTTATATCCTACATGTTATTTCTCTCTTCTTTATGTAACTTAATTTTATACATAATCATAATCGTTTTGAATAGAAAAACTATTAGTAGAAATAGTTAATGATTCATCTTTTTTTAATTCTTCTAATACTTTATAACAACATC